CCAGTTCTCCATGCGATGCTGACGCCCGTTCGTCTCCCAGACCATACAGAATAAATTTAAAAGGAATCCAGTCTAGAACGATTTGGCAAGCCTAGATTGCCTTAATTCTATCCATGAAAGTAAGCATTAATAAAAAAATATTGTTCTTGTCTGCTTCAGATTATATTTTGTAGATACTTATTTTAACTAGGAAAATTGTACTGACACCGGCGCCGTCCCCATTGAAGCTATCCATAAGAATTTCGAATTGCCGTCTATTGTTCGATGTCAATACATCGATGACAAGTGAGGATATCATAAAGTAATCGTTGATTCCGCGCTACACTTTGATAAAAATTATAATCAAGTTGACTGGTGTGTACATTACTACAGTGAACATGTACATGATCATGCCCTAATAATCAAATGCCGTAATGTCAAATACTAATTTATTATTGTGTGATGAATTTAACTGGATCAGTGGTAACATGTGATATTAATATTCCATCAATTTCTTTCCTGGTTGGTCCATACATGTCTACAAAATGAAAATAATACAATTAAAATGGAGCATAGAACAATTCTTAATTTCAGGCTAGAGCTGTGGAAATCTAGACTATATTATAGACTTGAGTTGGTCTCATGTTTTACATTATTCTCTTGGGTCAACGTCACAGCTCATACCATACACTAACAAGACCAGCTTGCCCCCCGCCGGAGCGCCTGGATTTTGGTTATATCATCTAACATGGCCAAGTCTAGATCTGCTCTTAAGTAAACAAGAACCTAATCAGCGAGGGGTCCTTTATCATCCCTATGTGGCTGCTTATAAAAATCTGATATCTTTTCCCAAAGACCTGGTTAATAATATATTTTCTGCTGAATATTCGAAACAAATAGAGTGAGTTGGTACTACATGTACATATGTATACGGTTCTATTTTAAATGACTGCAGCGCTCCATTATGAAAACAATTTGTTTTAACGCCGCTCTCAGCAGTATTCCAGTGATATATGACGGCGGTCTGTTGTATATGAAATATATGCAAATTGAATCTTGAATCTTGAAAGTTGTAACATTTCCGCAAATAAGTATCACATGCAGTATACAGTATATCAACTGCAATATACTGTATACATCAGTATACAGTGTGTCGCGAGCTCTGCGCTGGGCTGGAGCACACATTTCCTACACCTCTCCCTTCGGCAAACACATCACGAGGGTTGCAACGAGGTCACAGGTCAGGCGTGCACTCGTCAGTTGTCTAATACGGTCAAGAGTAAGATCTTCCGGAAGACCACTGCACTGGAGGTATGTGGATTATTGAGGAGGTACTACGTGTTTGGAACTAGGAGTTGAACACTAAGCACATTTAGAGAAGAGCTCACAATAAAACGTTATGGACTCGCGGACGGACTTGTGTTTTCATTTCAAGACGTACATTTATCAGGTTGAACTTCCTAACTGTAACAATAACTGAACTTTACGCCTTTTATACACATTTGTGATGGGGCGACAATGCGACAACGAGACATATTTTGACCTTGAAAATGTCGCGTTACGGCATCGTCGCCCTTTTGTAAAATAAAGAAAAGGATTATCAAAGAGCGACAATGCGAACACGCGACAATGCGACAAATGGCCAATTGTCGCGCTTTTGTTAATTTTGACACGTTTTGCTTGTTTTTGTTAAGGCGTCAATGCGACAATGCGACAACGAGACAATGTCCCTTCCATAGTAATCCGTGCAAATAAAACTGAGTAATGAAATAGAAGTCTGACATGCCAGTTAAAAGATAGAGTGTTGCAGCTTCTGATTTCATAGATCTTTAAGAAGGGTTATCAATAATGGGATGGGTGATGAGTTCAACTGCATACGCTGTGATTAACAATAATGCTCCGAGTCAATACATTTTGTCAAATGTATGACATGTATTACGAGAATGAACATATTGTTTATACTCGTCCATGTTTGTCGGACAAAATAATTTACATGCTCGGTAAAACTGAGGACGGGCATCATTGTGTGTTTCCGCGCTTTGTTCAGGTGAACAATTGACTTGTCCTTGCATGTGTTTGTGACGGGTGCCACTTGTGTGGCAGGATACGCTCACCTTTTCCCGAACACCCATTGGATGACCTGAACCACTTCGGATTTTTATCCCACATCAGTCTGATACACCATGATATAACTGAAATACTGTACAGTTGAAAATGATGTTTAATGCGATTACCGTAGTGTGTTACTGCAACTGTTCATATTTTGTGCAGTGATGTTATGTAATATGTAAAAAAAGCATATTGAATTATCCAATTGATTTGAATAGAATATACTTGCGTCAGTGTATTTTATTAACGCCCCAAATCGTAATTTAAACACATAAAATAACAGATCACGCATGGTGCCTTGACTTACTACTAGATTTAATGGGCCACCCCGGAATAAAATAGTTCCCCCCAAAGCGAGGAACATATGTTTCAGTATGTTTACGAGAAATATATTCAAAACAATATCCTCATTAGATGAGAAGATCTTTTACAGAATTACCTCAGTAAGTCAATTACAATGACAGAGCGTCGTAATACATTTACATCAAGTACAATACGTCAAAATGGCCGACACGATAAACGTGACGGGAGATATTTTCGAAGTTGTTAATTAACCTGTGGCTATTTCAAGCCTTTGGCATCACTGATCAATTGGCCGATCATTGAAAGGTGATTGTGAAGATGTGTCAAATAGATACTAAGGTAAATTCATAGATTTCTGTAAATTGTCACTGCGACAGTTTGGATTTTTTTTCGTGCTTTTTCGCTCTGGGATGGGTTGTAGCGAGGTTATCCTTAAATGGGCTTGCAACCACGCTTCTGTATGAATTCGTACCAGGGAATTCCAAGGGTTTTCCCCAGGAATGTGGAAGTAGTCAGTGTTTACGCCTTTTCAAGGATACAGTCACGTGAAGAACGTCATGTGACCGACCTCGCGTCCAAGTCGTATATCTTGTAAACTTCACATTAAAAAGTTAGTTATTGTTATAACCAAATGAAACACAACCCATTATCCGATAGGGGCAACTGTACATAGCCGTTACCACAATAAACTTAGTAACATTGTTTGGTTTGACTTCTTGGCGCGTGTCTGAATTCCATGTAACATATCCTAAAACTAGCTTATCAGCAAATCTCGCTGCACTGCGCGCGACAGATACTAGAGCAAGGCATGCCAGAAATACGAAACCTAAAGCTTCCGAAAGGAAGCCTTCGACATCACGTGCGTCGGGGGACCAGCGCCATCTGATTGGCCGTTAACAGTTGTACAAGGCGGAGCAAAAAGCATCGTTTTTCCGTCCATTTTACGCTTGAAAAACTCGACCCTTTTCTGGACACTTTCTAGACGCTGACCAATTAATCAATTTTAATGAATTTTTAGTCGTTTTTCCGTCCAATGACCATATACGGAAAAAAACGACGTTTTCGTGTTTGCAGTGAATGTCAGTTCGTTTTTCCTAAAGATCAGAATTTAGAAAATTTGGCACCCAACGAGCAGATATCTTATTCATCTGTAAAATGTTTATGAGTCATAGTTCAATGGATCCATGGCTTAGACCTTCCTCAAGTTCACCAATGCATGGTAAAATGTCTGTCTGTCAGTATAAGTTTTTCTATCTCCTTGATTGAATCTTCACGTGGAGCGACGTCAAGACCTAGGCAGGCCCATGTTGCTGGGGTGAACGGCTTTTCGAGGAGGACGATACTGAGGTTAACCAGCCGGTTTAGGCAGACAGATGGAACAGCAGACAGGTGGAACAGCAGACAGGCCTGGAAGCGGTAGACCCAGAGTTACCACCCTGACACAGCCATTTACGGCTGCTTCACCTTACGAACAGGTACCTCACAGTAACGTCATCGGGACGACGCGCTCTTGATCATCCCATCATCAGAAAGACTGTGTCCAGACGACTTCGTCAGTCTGGCTTGAGAGTCTACCGACCGTTCAAGGGCATGACGTTAACGCGCGGACATCGAGGTCAGAGAATGAGGTCGGCGAAGAATGTCGAGCGACAGCAGCAGGGAATTTGGCGCAGTGTACTGTTCAGTGATGAAAGCAGGTTTCTTCTCCAGCAGTGGGCGGGGTGCGTATTTATCGGCGGCCAGGGAACGGACGGCACATCGTTGCGTGCAGGAAATTGAACCATACAGTGGTGGCAGTGTGATGGTCTGGGTGGGAATTGTGGAGACATGAAGACGGATCTGGTTGTTATTGATGGCAATCTTACCGCTGCACGCTACATAGTGAAGTGTTGTACTGCCATTTCTTCAAAGTCACCCGCAAACGTTATTCCAGCAAGATAACGCCACGCCTCATATAGTCCGCATTACCGGAGCATTTTTCAACGCCAACAACGTGAACATTCTTTCTTGGTCGGCAAAATCTCCTGACATGTCTCCAATAGAACATCTGTGGGACCACCTGGGACGACAGATTAGGCAACGTCAGCCACGTCCAGTGACAAGAGTGGCGTTAGCACAGGCATTGCAGGCAGAATGGCGTCTGATCTCTGTGCACCCCATTAGACGACTGACTTGTTTCTGCTCGGCGCCGTGTCAGATCCTGCATCGAAGTTTGACGATATTGACTTGATAGTTACATGTTCTAACAATTTGAAAGTGGCGGCTCATTTTTATTGGTGATCGAATATTGGTCAGTTAACCGAATTTCTTTCGCTGGATTTATCATAGTTTATGCAAACATATTGTAAAATTACCTTGTTTTAAAATACAACAATCACCGTTCAAAATATAACTTTCTTATTTTGTGGCTTTGTTAAATATGTCCTCTTGAGTTAAGGTTATATAAATGTGTTTTGAATGTATACGTCCCAGAAACTTTCCGGATCTGACATTGGAAGGTATCCAGAAAGGTAACGGAAGCTTGCCTTTTCATGATTTATATGCCCCAATATTTCAGTGCATTTTCCTTCGACCGTTGCTGAACGAATAATGTTGCAACTTTCTTCCAGCCCTTCACATCCAGATTACAGAGTCAACCCAGAAAGCCTTGCTAGTTCACGGAGGCTTCAACATCACACTAAGAGGGTCACTTGAAGTAAAGGTAATTATAGAAATAATCTATAAGGAGTTCTTATTTAAAACCCACTCCCACCACCCCACCACACATACACACACACACACACACCACTCCCACCACCATACACACACATACACATACACACACCCCACTCCCACCACCACACACACACACCACTCCCACTACCCCACCACCACACACACACATACACACACACACACACACACACACACACACACACACACCCCACTCCCACCTTCCCACCACACACACACACACACCAGTCCCACCACACACACATACACACACACACCCCACTCCCACCTTCCCACCACACACACACACACCACTCCCACCACCACCACACACACACACACACACACACACACCCCACTCCCACCACCCCACCACACACGCACACACACACACACCACTCCCACCACACCCACCACACACACATACACACACACACCACTCCCACCACCCCACCACACACACACACACATCCCACTCCCACCACCCGCACACAAACAAACACACACACACACACACACACACACACACACACACACACACACACACACACACACACACACACACACACACACACCACCACCACCATTTTATGTTACATTTTGTCATGGTCCCACCCGAATACATGTTAGACAATGACCCCCTGCCTCCCCATTATGAAAGACAAGTCCCTAAATAATGCACATTGACAAGATTTTCATTTAAAAACTGTGTCCATTTTCATAGTTTTAAATAGAAAAAAATATCTGGTTTTGTTGCTTTGGCTGCAAATATATCGCATCTCGATACAATCGGTCCTGAAGTGAACACTGTAAGGTGTAACCAAATGTGTGAGTGGAAGGGAATGACGGAAATTGAAGGCCGAGTTGCAAATTTAGAAACATGTAATTAGAAATCCTTTCAGTTGATCCCTCATCTTCGTGTTGCTTCTGTTTCTCCTTCACCACTGCTTATTCAATGTTATTGTTCCAGGGAAAGGGGGTCACCACTGCTTATTCAATGTTATTGTTCCAGGGAAAGGGGGTCACCACTGCTTATTCAATGTTATTGTTCCAGGGAAAGGGGGTCACCACTGCTTATTCAATGTTATTGTTCCAGGGAAAGGGGGTCACCACTGCTTATTCAATGTTATTGTTCCAGGGAAAGGGGGTCACCACTGCTTATTCAATGTTATTGTTCCAGGGAAATAGGGTCACCACTGCTTATTCAATGTTATTGTTCCAGGGAAAGGGGGGTCACCACTGCTTATTCAATGTTATTGTTCCAGGGAAATAGGGTCACCACTGCTTATTCAATGTTATTGTTGCAGGGAAAGGGGGGTCACCACTGCTTATTCAATGATATTGTTCCAGGGAAAGGGGGGTCACCATGCACTGCTTATTCAATGTTATTGTTCCAGGGAAAGGGGGTCACCACTGCTTATTCAATGATATTGTTCCAGGGAAAGGGGGTCTACACTGCTTATTCAATGTTATTGTTCCAGGGAAAGGGGGGTCACCACTGCTTATTCAATGTTATTGTTCCAGGGAAAGGGGGGTCATCACTGCTTATTCAATGTTATTGTTCCAGGGAAAGGGGGTCACCACTGCTTATTCAATGATATTGTTGCAGGGAAAGGGGGTCATGACAACGTTTTGGCTCACCTCAAGGAGTCCCAAGATAGCACAGAATTACTCTGATAACCATCTCTTGTGACCGCTTTGGAGACAGAACGTCCGTCATCTGAGACCAGTTTAATCTACCGACCACCGTTGGTGCCATGAAAGGGGTGTTCCCAAGTGCCATACTACGAATATTGGCAAGGAATTGGATGTATTTATTATGGTAGTGTTCCTTGTTTGTGACAACAGTAATTACCAAATCGTTGTTTTGTCACACCTTGTCAAACACGATTGTTTTGTTCATGTTTTTGAAACAATATCTTTTGATAAATCTTTAGTTCAATATACACAATGAAAGGCTGATGTTGGAATCGGTCTTAATGGGGTTGCTTCTTTAGAGGCTTCTACAGGCTGCGACTACATGTTGCTATTAGTGCCATGTGTTATTTTTATTGTCATATATTTTTATTTGATAACAAATTCTATCCATTTTAGCTTTAATAACGGTAGCGCTATTTTTCAGGGCATTATCATTTGCAGAAACCCTCGCTCTTTTCAACTGCCCTCCTTCCTCGGGCACTTAATGGAAGACCTCGGCTTCTGCAAATGATAATACCCTGAAAAATAGCGTTACCGTTATAGTATCAGCCGTCCGGCATGTAACACCTGGGGATACGGATCGACACTTTGACAATGTGCCAAGGTACTCTGTAGCATTTCCAACGCATTTCTACATCTGCGATTGGCTGCAAATAATATAATTGTTTAAAAATCTATATGCCTATTCCTCGATCACTTTCAAATTGGCAGTACAGAGTTGCGTCCCTTGGGCATGCCAGAAACCTATGATTGTGGGTTCGACTCCCGGTTCGCCCCGATTATGTTTCCAGGTTTGTCAGCACCATACCCCTGCTCGTCGGTTTCACCAAAGTGGTATACGTCTGAGACGGGCATCATTTCGGGCTTTCCTCCCACATTAAGCTGATACGCCGTGATATAACTGGAATACTGTTAAATGCGCTCACACTTTCAAATAAATACAAGTATTTGTTAACTTTGAGTAAACGTGTCTGGTCGAACAGAATCCCAGTAGTTGTTTCACGGGCCGCTATCCTGTTTTCCACAACCATTCGATCCTCTTCGATCTGGAATCCTTTTTCAAAATTTACTTTCAATTGAAAAAGGGATACATATTTGTTGGCAAGTGATAAAGGAAGACCTGGGTGTGTAGGCTTTAAATATGTGTTGGTAACAGAAAAACAAACATGATTTTGGTTGATTTGGGTTAAACCTGCTTGGACTGCTTAAAAAAACTCGGGTGAAGTACCGCTTTAATGTATGTTTTTTTTAGAAATGCCATTTTTTGGAGACAACTCAGAATAAAGATGAAGGCTGAAATCCTTTAATCCAAGTGGAGTGGGTCATTGATCCAATCTTAGAAACGCATGGATCTGAGTTGTCCTACTGCGTATCATTACGTACATGATTATGGCTGTAATATTGCTGAGTGCGGCGTTTAACAACACACAAACACATATAACATGACACCACGGTAATTTTGTCAATAATTCCATCTTGTCATTTATCAATCGACTTCAACACATTTTCCCGTGTATGTACCTGTCACTCTTACAGCTGCAGCTGGAAGATATTCGAATATCACGCCATTCATTTGTTAATACCTGATATCGGGCCATCGAATTGTACGTCATGGTATGAACAAATATTGCGTCTTGTCATTCAGTATTACGCCACGCGTATCTGTTAATCTCTCACTCAATGTTAAACGATTACGTTATACATAAATGTTAATCTATAACTTCATGTCAACCTCATAATATGTACGTATTTGTAAATCTATCACTCAGTTTTAAAGTATTTCGTCACAAACATCTGTCTATCTATCACTCTGTGATTAACTATTTCATCACACGTATCTGTTATTCCATCATTCCATGTTAAACTATTTCATCACACATATCTGTTACTCCATCATTCCATGTTAAACTATTTCATCACACATATCTGTTATTCCACCATTCCATGTTAAACAATTTCATCAACCAGTCGATGTCTAACTATACTGAACAGCACTGAAAACGCACCACCATGAAAATGGATGTATTTTTATCCGGGCTTAAGTCATATGAAAATATATAAGTGAATGAGTAATATACGACGTTCTGGACGAAGCATGAAGAAGAACAGCTCGTCAAAACACATTCCTAAATTTTTTGTGAGCGAAATCGCCAAAACGCAACAAATTGCGTGCACATCATTGAAAACGTGTTTTGTTTCACGGGAAACATGCAGAATAGGACTTTTAAAAGCCACATCACTTGTTGCTGCGGACGTAAAAGGGTACTGACACATGAAATGCCAAGATTAACAGCAGAGGAACGTGAACGTGCCTTGGGCATGCTTCAAGTTGGTACGTCAAGTAGAGTCGTTGCACAACGGTTTCAATGCCATCATTCAACAGTCCTCGGGCTACTGAGCAGATACGAGCAGACAAGAACCACCAGAGATCAACCACGTCCGGGTCAATGTCGTAACTACACCACGTCAGGATCGCCATATTGTTCGTCGGCATCTTCGTGATCGTACACTTCCTGCTACCATGACTGCAGCAACCGTACAAGGCCGACGGGGTTGAACAGTGCTGACACCGTACGTCGACGTCTCCGCTCAGCAGGGCTACGTGCTCGACGTCCATATGTTGGACCCATACTCACTGATCGATATCGAAATGAACGTCTGCGTTGGGCCAAAAGGCATCGTCATTGGAGATTGCGGCAGTGGCATGGTGTGCTGTTCTCTGGTGAGTCCCGTTTTCATTTACGGAATGCTGACGGTCGACTGCGAGTGTGGCGTCGACGTGGAGAACGTTACCACAATGACTGCGTTGTACAGACAGATCGATGGGGGGAGGGAGTGTCATGGTATGGGGCGGCATCAGTCATAACCATCGAACAGAGCTCCATGTTTGTCGTGGAATAGTTAATGCCCTTTCCTACAGGAATAACATATTGGCAAATCAAGTCATCCCATTCTTTCATCAGCACCAGGATAGGCACACCTTCCAGCAAGATAATGCAAGAGCGCACACAGCACGTGTTTCAACACAGTACCCAGCGTACCTAGCCCTGTCACCCGATCTATCGCCAATTAAACATCTATGGGATTACCTGGGTCAACGCCTCTCACGTCGTCCGCAAGTACAGAACCTGAGAGAACTTGAAGATACACTACGTCAAGAATGGAATGCCCCAGAACACTATTCGCAGACTTATTCGATCAATGAGAAGACGTTGCATGGCCTGTGTTGCTGTCAATGGCGGACATACCAGATATTGACTTTTCATTTTAACCCTATGTGTCTTCCTTACACTGATGACGTAGTTGTTATTACTGTGTGGTATTCCTGTTTCCTTTTGTCGTCTTTCTTAACAATCCGTCTACGTCTGTTCTAATCAAAATCGGTCATTGCTCAAATTGTTTTTGTAATATATCAAGATTTATTGCTGGTGCGTTTTCAATACTGTTCAGTACATATCGTCATATATATCACAATAGATGTCGCGCCATGTCAGTCGCCGTTACGTACTTTGAGTGAAGATCCGGGTTTGAATTGGTCTTCGGCAACCCATGCTTGTCATAAGATGAGACTAACTGTATCGGGTGGTCAGTCTTGCTGACTTGGCTAATGCATGTCATCGTCACCAAACTGCGTAGATCAATGCTCGATGTCAATCACTGGATTGTCTGATCCAGACTCGATTATTTAAGGGCCGCTGGAATATTGCCGAATGCGGCGTTAATCAACAAACAAACAAACAAACAAACTTCGAGGCTGTCCGATCAGCAATAACGCCATGTCACTCATCATCACGCACCGTGACTTGCATACTCCCCAGGGAGCTGAGAATGCAAATCAAATGCACAATGATCCTTTGACCGGGGTAATTCTAATGTAGTGCTATGAACATCCGCTTGGTGAACGGAAGTTGGAGCATTATAAATGCACATGTTATTGATATTGTTCATTACACATTTTACGCTATTACTTCATTCATATGTCAATAACCGTTTGCCATTTATTAAGTCGTAGAATTTTGAAAAATCAAATAGCACGCCAATGTTTTCGAATGTTCGAAAGAAGCACTTATTGTATACACTAGTGCCACGATGTTTGCAAAGTCGATCTCAAACACCGCGGTATGCCTCCAATAGCCTCTTATTCGACGTCTATTTCCTGTTAGTACATGTACTGAAATACAAACATAACTTAGGTCATATAAACAATATAGCTGATCGTTAATCGAAATACAAAAATATGCAAAACCTATTAAAGTTTGAGTGTTACTTTGAAAAATAATCCACATGGTTGAAAACAATACCAATCTTACGAATGAACGTTATTCCATTGAATTGAATTGAATAATTGTTGCGTTTATGGAGGTACCAACGTAAACACCGGTGAGCACACTGTGTAAGAATATAATCAATATTATATTTTAGTGCAATATATGGTCCAGTGTGAGGACCCAGTTCCACAAAGCGATCTTAGCGCTAAGTTGGTCGTAACTCCCATACTTTAACACAGGCTTACAGCCTGGTTATCCGTCCTGGTTTCGTCATATGGTGAGATGAGGTGAGGTGAGGTGGGGTTTGACGTCGCGGCCAAGTTTATTGCACTTATATAGCAACTTGCATGCACGTGTGTGTGTGTGTGTGTGTGTGTGTGTGTGTGTGTGTGTGTGTGTCTGCTTGTACTAGTCCAGAGCAATGCCGATTTTTATAGTGTTAGGTCCACTGAGATGCCACGCCTCAGTTTAACATGAAAACCCCACTCAGACACGGTATACTGACTCCGAGCTGACCAGTCCTTATTTTAGCTCCTTAATGCCGAGTCTCGGGCAGGGTAACAACAAGTACCACCTCTTAACATCTTTTGGCATGAAGCGGCTGGGGATCGAACCTCGAACCCTCCGCTCCTCGGGCGGACGCTCTACCACTAGACCACAGAGCCGGTCTTCGGCATATGGGGACATCGCCTTCCGTCCACGAGCACACTCAGGATTTACCGGCATGTGTTGGTTGTTTACAAAATGTTTGTTCTTGTTTAAGTCAATGAATAAAGCCTTATATCATATATGTTTAAGACATGACCTGTTTATATTTTTATATACTTCGTAAACAAAGACATGTTTATGAAATTGATAAAATACCAGCTGTTTGAGTGAGATCGCTAATATTCGAAAAATACACACTGTCAGACATTTTCATATTTGGCCAACCATATACTTTTAGAATCAACTGAAAATGCTATGTATCTATCAGTCAGTCACAAACTATAATTACTTGATGATATTTCAGAATGTTATAGAATATAGTCATTTAGTCGGTTGGCATTGGAGTAAGTGTAACAGTGTTTTCTCACAATAGTGAACAATGCA